GTTTCTATCTTCAACACAGAATATCATTAGAAGTAAACAACCCATCGGTTTAACATCAATACCTAAAAAAATACTGTATCAAATAATCGAACTACTTGCAAAGAGTATTAAATACTGGGAGACAATCACTGTAGCTTTCCACTGAAAAAATGTCACCTCCACTCAGTTCTCTTCATGAGTAATAGGGTACACATGTAAGAGGAAAATAATAGTATAATGCCAGACACAAAGTAGAACAACTATCAGATGACAAAATATATATATATTTATATTTATTTATTCAGGTATATGTGTGTGTGTGTATAAGGATGAAGAGAATGATTCAGTTACCATAAGGATCTCTCTTGCTTTCAATGAGTTATTTTACTCTCTCTTACATTATGTTCTCAATTACAAACTGGGAAAGTATGGTCTTGTTAATATACAAATGGTTTGAAAGGAAAGTGACACCCAAAGGTCAATCACTAGTGGCCTTGGATTTCATGATATAATAGAAGGAACTGGTCATGTGCTCAGATATGGAGATGATGCTAAACTGGGATAGTTATTAATATCCTGGAAGACAAATATAAAATTACAAATTACTGTGACAATTAAAAAGTACTGTTCCTTTAAAAAAAACAATTAAAATCCAAAGAAAAGTGAAGGTGCTATGCATGAACAACAAAATAACTAAAATAAAAATGATGATGGAGAAGTACTGGCCAAATGTAAACGTATTACACTATATTAAAAGAAATTGAGCCTAAAAGGGCCAGTGGATTTTCTAGCCTGCACTGGTCAGAAATTTTGAGTATCATATTCAAATTTAATCACATTTTAAGTGGAAGAAAAGACACTAGAAAAGTTAGAGATGACAAAAAAACAATAAAGGGATAAAGAATGTAACATGAAAAAATATTTTAAATGTAGTATGTATAATGTAGAAAAGAGATAGTAAGATGTAACTAGATACAGATCACCAAATATTCAACAGATGTTTATAGTGCGCCTATTATGCACACAGGGCAGAAAAGTGCCTAGGGCAAGACCCTGGGGGAATGAAGACATAATTACAATAGGTGGTGATAAGTGCCATCACAGAGGCATACTAATCATTATGGGAATGTAGAGGGAAAATTTAATTCTGCCTAGGGAAGTGTTCGGAGAAGAAGTGACATCGCATAGCAAGGTACCTGCCCCATAAATAAAAGATATTATTAAGTCTGGCTGAAGGACAAGGTGAACTACACAAGAGAAAAAGAAGATTGAATGGTTAATTTGGTACCAGATGAAGTTCCTAATAATTCAGGTATCAGGAGTTTATCATAAGTTTATCAATGTTTCTAAACAGTTGATAAATCCTAATGGAGGAGCTAAGTCATAATAGTGAGGAAGACTATAGAATACAAAGGAATCAGTGAGAAAGAACGTTTATATTATTGCAACAATTTAAACAAGAATATAGCTTGAACAAATATAGTAAGAATAAGAGGGCAGAGAATAGATTTGAGAGGCTTCTCAGGCTTGCACTTGATAGGGTTTGGAATCAGAGAATAAGAGTGGAGAGTTGAAGATAATCCTCAAGCCTGGGAAACTGGATTGATGTGATATCATTAAACTAAATGGGAAAAACAATGAAACTAGGTTTAAGATGAGGGAAAGGGGTGCTTGTTGGGAAAGAAAAACAGTTTGGTTTCAATCATGGTCAATTTGAGGTGTTCGAACATATTCAACTAAAGATATCTTTATAGAACAGGTCTGGCCACTGGACAAAAAGGCTGAGGAGAATTAGATAGGAAGAACCAAAAAAGACAGGTGTTGCAGAAATCAAGGGAGATGAATTTCAAAAAGGGAGTGATCAGAGGCACCAAATACGCAGAAACATACAATTACAATGAAGACTGTAAAGAGAAAACTGGTCAGAGAAATTAAGAACTTGGTAATGACCTTAGAAAGGTAATGTTTAATAAAATGATGGGATGAAATCACACTGAAAGATGAGGAAAGGCAGGCAAGTAAGGAACAAAAACAGTTGAGTACAGAGAGTTTGCATTTTTTGCACAGGTATGTAAAAGTCAAAGTCTTCCATACTTACGAAGGGCCAAACGAAGGAAAAGGTCCCACTATATTGAGTCAGATAACATACCAGTGGATAAAAGAACATTTCTTAACCACTAAGGGCAAGCTAAAACACTAACGTAGGTTAAATAGAGCATGTGAAATACCCACTAGCTCTTCAAGAAAATAAACAACAGCATTCCTGAAAAGCCTGGACACCCTCCTACGTAGAGGCAGGGTGTCTAATGAAGACAATTTTTTCAATGTCCGTTTCAGTTCCATAACCTTATGTTGCTAAAAGTATAGGACTGTTAACTTTTCAGCCTCTCAGAAAAATTTTAACTCTGTTAGGTATGGCTTTTCTTGAACACTCACTTTTTGGTAAGCTCTTTGATTTTGTCCTGATTTCTCTGGTGATGAACTTGTATTTCCTCAATGCGAATCCGTCTATCTTCCATGAGCCCTTCAACTTGCTCTCTAGAAAGTTTGGTCTGTTCTTCCAGCTGAGCCTGCAGTGCTTCCACCTAGATAGGCCAAAAAGGATGAGGTACCCACTCCTGCCCTGCTTCCACTTATTCCTTACATCTAAAAGTGAGCCCTTCTCCAGAAAAAATCTAAAAAACAAAACAAAAAACCCACAAAACAAACAAACAAGCATAGCAGCAAAACAAATAGAAAAGCCTCAACTGTACTCCTCTTTATTTAGTGTCTTATAAATGAGGTTAGGCTACACAAGAGCAGACTCTATTCACACTAAGCAAAGCACAGAAAATATCACACAAAGAAAGCCAGAAAATCCAGTTTCCCCTACCCTAAGATCCTCACCTCTGCAATACCTCCCTTTTGGACTTTAGGACTGTCTTCCTTTTAAGACTCTCTAGCTGCATAGAAATTGAATGACTCTTTTCTTCATTTTTTTAATTTAAAAAGTGAAGCAAAATGAGTATAATGTAATTTCTTCTTTGAGTCTGGCTGTCATGACTCCAAAGAGATGCTGGCCAAAGGTAGAAACTGTCATGCAAATCAATAGAGCCTCCTTGATAAAGATAGGAACTGGAGTGAAAAATCCTAGTTGCAAATGATAGACAATTACCAAGTGGTAAGAAGATAACTCATTACTTTCCTAGACTTAGATCACGTGCACTAAACTAATATACCTCTAAAGGTTAATCTATCAGCACAGACAACTGCAACTCTCTGTATCCCTTAGGCCAACCACAAAGGGAATTATTACTGTATGATGGTTTTATTGGTTAAGGTTTAGCATATAAACTGAATGAACAAAGTTTCAGAATAGCATCTCTAGAACAGCTGAATACAGAATAATGGTTTTAAAATATAAACTTCTATAAATTAGGAATAACCTCAATTTTCTTAATCACATGATGCCTCAAAGTAACATGTGTGTGAGGAGATACTTATGGGATAATGAAAGTATGTTACACAAAGCTAAACTCGTGGATAGAAACTGTTTTGGTCTGCCAAAATAAATTCTTTACCTGTAGGATAAGTGTTTGTATATCTCTTTGGTATTGCTCAGAACTTTCTTCCTTCTCTCTCAGTGCTGGTTTTCTTTTGCTTATTTTAGAATCTAAAAGAGAAAGCAAAACTGAATGAAGACCTTTACTTAGCTTTTCTTTCTGCTATTCAAATATCAGTATTACCTTTGCAGAGTTCAGTTTCATTTACCTATGTATGAAGGAAAGGAAGTAAAAGGAAAACACACAATAATTATAGTGCTAATTTTTCAAATAGGAATCGCTATAAGAAAACTCTGCCAGGATGTCACCTGGATGATGATATCTTTCTTAAGAATAAACCACTAAATTTTCCTTTGGAGTTGTGCCTATTTTCTTTGTAAAGTATTATTTAATCAGAAAGAGTAAGAAATAAGAAAAACTAAACCTAAATATTTTGGTTATGATGTATCACACAATTTTTAAAAGACAAAATTATTTTTAAAATAAGCAACACTAAAAGCACAAAACAAAATTTAATTCCTTTGATAATTCAAGAACTTCATGCTAAGAGAGTAGATATTAAAAGTTCTCATCACAAGAAAAAGAAAATTTGTAACTGTGTGTGGTAACGGATGTTAACCAGACTTATTGTGATCATTTCATAACATACAAATATCAAGTCATTATGTTGTACACTTGAAATTAATGTAATGTTATATGTCAATTATATATCAATGAAAGAAAGAAAAAGAAAAAAAGAGAGAGAAAGTTGGGATTTCTATTTAAAAAAGGAGAGGTAAAGTCTACGGCCAGGCTACCCTGAACAAGCCCGATCCCATCTGATCTCGGAAGCTAAGCAGGGTTGGGCCTGGTTAGTACTTGGATGGGAGATCACCTAGGAAGACCAGGTGCTGTAGACATAAAAAATAAAAAAATAAGGGATTGTAAGCTGACAAGGTCCTTGCAATGTGTGAGGTCAACCAAAGGTTGCCTTGCCTAAAACAAACAAACAAACAAACAAACAAACAAGTAAGATGACTGAGGCTTAGAAATGCTAAGTAATACTCTGATTCCTAAGTTGTCCAAATTTCTTTTATGACTTATCACTGTAAGCATGTTAATTATATATTTTTTATTTCCATTTCATTAAAATATCATGGGAAGGTTAAAAAGAAAAAAACTCAGTAAGATCTTAGACTACAAGAGGCATCATTATGAACATTTTTACTGTGTAATAGGAAAATTTTTCTAATTATTTGCACTGTTTTTGAATTCTGCATCAATGAGAATTTATAATATGGTTGGTACCTGCTCTGAAAGTTGAAGCTTCATTCTGTTCACATACACCCATTGCCTGGATAGTCTTTTGAAAAATGCTGACCTGAAAAAGCAAAAAGTAGGTATGGAAGTAGCCTTCTTGTAAATGTAATGTTTCACTTTTTAGCTTTACTATCACAGAGCAAACACTTTTCATAAATTAAATTGGTCAAAATTGATGTAATCATTATAGGAAAGTCATACATATGGATCAAAGTAGACAAAGTAACAAAATGGATAAAATCCAGTGTTAGTGATATAAATTAAAAAACTGAAATTTCAGGGGGATGGCTCCATAGTGTAGTGGTTAGCACATCTGCTTTACACTCAGAAGGTCCTGGGTTCGCACCCCAGGTGGAGCCACAGACCATACCCTGGGTGCGCCAGGCCCCAAATGCACGCTGCGTGTGGGACAAGACACCTCACCTTCAGAGATCCAGTTCTTAAGGGGAAATGGCAACATTCCTTGGGTCAGGGGTGGAAGTGGGGGGTGGGGGCAGAATTAAAGAAGGGGAAAAAAAATAAAAATAAAAAATAAAACTTCAGGGTAATTTAGCAATATCTGCTGGAAAAAAAAGTAGCCTTTAGGAAAGTAATGGAAACAGATGCATACACATGTAGATATATGTGAAGATGCTTACTGAGCCACTGTTTACAGAAGTGAAAAAATGGAAATAGTACATACACATAAATATTTCTATATGAATGAAAAAAAGTTTTATTTTTGGGGTACAGATTATGGGAGACTACCACTTTTATATGATAGATTTGTGTGTTTATTTTTAATAAAAACCATGCATTACTTTTGTAATCAGTATACACAAAGATTAAAAAAGAAATGAGTATTGAAACTTGCTCCCACATTGTCTGTTTCTGCTTTCCTCTCTAATCTCATCCAAAACATCTGCTCCTCTGTACGTTAGGTTTCCAAGTGGTAAAATGGGTAAACAATGCTGCTTCTCAAGGATTTTGAAGAAAAAGAATAAAAACATAAAGCTCTTCAAAATTACAGAAAATGCTTTGAAAACTCAGGTAGACAGACATGGGAGTAAGATAGCTAATGCTCCTTCTCACTTCTTTAGCAAGCACCAAAATTGCTGATTATGGACCTTAGCCTGTGTTTTGTAAAAGCCACATTTACCACGCTATCTATACCAAAGATTACTTACTTTGTTGGGAGGCTCCTTATAAAAATAGGTCACTTCTCCAGTGTCTGTTCCCACAAGAGCCAAGAGATTCTGAATCTTTTTCTTGTCTTCTAGCTCCCTGCAATTCTCAGAGTAAGCACACATTGTGTCCAGAATAAATAAATTTTTCTTTTTAAAGGTTTGCACTTCTTATTTTCAAAACAATGGTAACCTCAAATTAAAATTGAATAGGACTTATCTAGACCTTAAATCTAATTTTTAAAACGCTAAGTACTTACATTTAGGAATTCAGAGAGAAGGGGCCAGAAACTAATTTCTTGGTTGGTTCTAGAAAAGTAGTGGATGTTAGGGTATACTGCTCAGGTGCTCGTCTTCAGGACTGATGGGTTCATTCTCTCAACTGCCAGCAATGTTGCAAGCTGATGGCTCACAGCTGAATCTCTCTCCAGAACTGCCATCACTCGAGAGGGACTGCCTTACATAATTATATGCCCAAGATAAGCCTGCATCCAGTGCCTGGTTAATGAGAGGTACCAAAGCCAAATCCTCTTGCCTCAATTCAGGATATTTCTGAAAGGCCATCCCAACTTTAGGACGCCCTGTGGCCTTGGTTGAATCTGGCTGTAATTAAATCACAGTTCAACTTTTGCCCAATCAGACTTTCCTTATTCTCTCATAGGTATTTACTCCTGAGAGCACTCGCCTATAAACCTCCTGCCAAGTAAATCTCTATTGCAGTGTCTGTTTCCCAGGGAACCCGACCAAGACGACTGATATCAGAAATGAACCAAGGAAGCAAACTCTAAAATGAGATTTCAGAGCTTGTGATATTAAGATGATTTATAGAATAATGTTCTTAGCAGCAATACAGATTGGGGGACGGGGTCAACAGGGTATAGCTTAAACAATTAAATCAAAGATGGAGGGAGGGTGAGTGCTGTGTCCTATACAAAATCGTGATCTCTGACACATTTTCCACACCTCAGTTTTAGGACCCAGAGACTATTATCTAAAGGAGGAACTGGGTCTCCCAGGAGGTAGGACCTGGTGACACCACAGCAAGTGTACATGGTAATGATTACTCCAGTTCTTCCCCAAAGGATCTATGGCCAGTTATTCAAGTAATAATACACCAGGGAAAAGGAAATACCCAGGCATTTCAAAGATTACTAGATATATGGTCTGAGTTGACACTGGTACCTGATGGCCTAAAGTATTATCATGGCACTGGGGTATATGGGAACCATGTAATAAATGAAGTTTTGGTCCAGGTCCAGCTCACAATGGGTGCACTGGATCCAGACCCAACCAGTGGTCATTTCCTCTACCTCCAAATGAATAACTGAAATGAACATATTTGATAGTTGGCAAAACTTGCAAATTGGTTTCTTGACTTCTGGGTAAAGTCAAGTGGAATCCTCTGAAACTGCCCCTCCCTATCCCAGCCAAGATGGTAAATAAAGACCTAAAAGATGCAGAGGTGGAGGTCTCCATAAGGTCTCCATTTCATTCTCAAGTACAACCTATGCAGACTAGATGGATAACAGTAGACTACTAGCAAGTAGGTCCCAACTTCAGTCACTGTGTCAGATGTAGTATTTTTGTTAGAGCGGATTAAATTGGTCTTGAGTACATTAAACTAATATGTTCCTGTCCATTCATAACAGGACCACAAGCAGTTCTAATTCATGTAGTGTGAACAGTATACTTTCATAGTCTTTCTCTAGGATCATGTTAATTTTTCTGCTACCAAACTTCTACCAAATCAGTCTGAAGGGACCAGGATCTGGCCATTCCACAGATCACACTAGTTCACTATTGATGATATCATGTTAAATCAAAATGGACAAACAGAAAATGACAAGTGCATTAGGACCTTTGGTAAGATACATGTGCACCAGAGGGTTGGAAGTAAACCTTACAAAGCACATCAGTGAAGACATTCCCTTCAAAGTAAAGAACAGATTATTGCCATTTCACGCCTACCATCACCAAGAAGGAAACATAATGCTGAGAAGGACTCTTCAGGTTCTGGAGACAACATTCTCCATACTGTAGAATGCTGTTCTGACCCATATATCAAGTGACACAAAAAGTGAACTTTCAGTGTGGCCAAGAGTCAAAAAGTTCTGCATTAGGTCAAAGCTGATGCTATTAAGGAGACTGAATTAGTAATCAAAAACCTACTGATGAAGAAAAACCCTGGACCTGATGGCTTCACTGGTAAATTACACCAGACATTTAAAGAAGGACTAACAGCAATCATTCTCCAAAATTAAAAAGACAGCACTTCCCAATTCATTCTCTGAGGCCAGTATTGCCCCGATACCAAAGCCAGATAAAGACATTATAAGAAAACTACTACAGACCAATATCCCTTATGAATACTGATGCAAAGATCCTCAATACTAGCAAACTAAATTCAGCAGCATAAGACAAAGATTATACACTACGATTAGGCTGGAATGCAAGCATAGTTCAACATATGAAAATTGATCAATGTAATATACCACATTAACAGAATAAAGGAAAAAAAACATACAATCATAAATTAACACAGAAAATTCATTTGACAACATTCAACACCCTTTTAAATATAAACACTCAACAAACTAGGAACAGAAAGAAACAACCTTCACAAAATAAAAGCCATGTATGAAAAAACCCACAGCAAACTCAATGATGAAAGACAAAATGTTTTCCTCCAAGATCAAAAACAAGACAAGGATGCCCATTTTCACAACTTCTATTTAACATAGTATTGGAAGTACTAGCCAGAGCAAGTAGCAAGAAAAAGAAAGACATGCAAATTGGAAAGAAGTAAAATTATCTTTGTTCACGGATGACATGATCTTATATGTAGAAAACCGTAAGGTTTCCACAAATAAACAAAAAACAATGCTACAAAACACAACTCTTAGAACTGGTAAGTGAATTCAGCAAAGTAGGAGAACACAAATTCAACATGCAGAAATCAGCTGCATTTTTATAAACTAACAATAAACAATCCAAAAGAAAATTAAGAAAATAATTCGATTTATAATAGCATCAAAAAGAATAAAGTACTTAAGAATTAACCAAGGAAGTCAAAGATCTGTACACTGAAAATACTGCTGAAAGAAATTAAAGAACACATAAATAAATGGAAAAACATCCTGTGTCCAAGGACTGGAAGACTTAATATTAAGATATCGATATTACCCAAAGCAATCTACAGATTCAGTGCAATTCCTATCAAATTCTCAATGACATTTTTTGCAGAAATAAAAAAAAAATCCATCCTAAAATTCATATGTAATCTCAGGAAATTCCAAATAAAGCAATCTTGAAAAAGAAGAAAGCTGGAGAACTCACTTTATGACTTCAAAACATACTACAAAGTTATAGTAATCAAATTAGTGTGATACTGGCATAATGACAGACATGTAGACCAAAGGAATAGAGAGCCCAGAAATATGTCGTGCATATTTGGTCAAATGATTTTCAATTTTCAATGGCAAAAAGACAGTCTTTTCAACAAATAGGGTTGGGAAAACTGGATATCCATATGCAAAAGAATGAAGCTGCACCCTTAGCTAACACCATACACTCAAAATGGATCAAAGAATTAAATGTAAGAGCTAAAATTATAAAACTCTTAGAAAACAGTGATATTGGAGGCAATGATTTCTTGAATATGACACCAAAAGCAGAAGCAACGAAAGAAAAAATATTAAAACTGGACTTTATGAAAATTAAAAACTTTTGTGCATCAAAGTAAAATGAAACCCTCAGAATGGGAGAAAACATTTGCAAATCACTTACCTGATAAGGGATTAATATGCAAAATACACAAAGAACTCTTAAAACAAAACAACAAAAAACAACCTAATTCGAAAATGGGTAAAGGACTTCAATAGATATTTTTCTACAGATATGCAAATGACCAATAAGCATGTGAAAAATGCTTAATATCACTAGGGCAATGCAAATCAAAACAACGAGATACCACTTCACACTCATTATGATGGCTATTATTAAAAAAAATAGAAAAAAGTGTTGATGTACATAGGAAGAAACTGAAACCCTTGTGCATTGCTGGTGGAAATAAAAAATGGTGTGGCCAGTGTAGAGAACAGTATCGTGGTTCCCCAACTAAATTAAACATAGAACTAGCATTTGATCTGCAATTCCATTTCTGGGTAAATACACAAAAGAGTTGAAAGCAGGAACTCAACAGGTATTTGTAAACCAACATTCATAGCAGTGTTATTCACAATAGCTAGCAAGTGGAAACAACTCAAATGTCCATGAACAGATGAATGGATAAATAAAATGTGGTATATTCATACAATGAAATATTATTTAGCCTTAAAAAGAACGAAATTCCGAAACATGCAACATGGATGGATAAATAAACGTAATGCTAAGTGAAATAAGCCAGGCACAAAAATACAAATACTGTATAATTCCAGTTATGTGAGGTTCCTGGAATAGTCAGACACATAGAAACAAAGTAGAATAGTGGTTACCAAGGGCTAAGAGGAGGAGGGGTTATTGTTTAATGGGTACAAAGTTTCTGTACAGGATAATGAAAAAAGTTCTAGAAATGTATAGGGGTACGGCGGCATAAAAATGTGAATATACTTAATGCCATCTAACTAATACACTTAAAATGATTAAAATAGTAAATTTTAATGTTAAGTATATTTTACCACAACTGGGGGGAAAAAAAAGTATATTATAGTGGATGTTGTGGACACCTATCCTCTGGTTATTGAGTTCTTCTCCAGGAACTGCCTTGGACTGAAAGGGGCTACCTCCTCCAAGCTTATAGTCTCTCCCTGGTGGCAGCCTACATCCAATGACTGATCACTGTGGAAGTAAAACGTCTGACTTCTTTGCCTTTGAAAGGCTGTCCTAGCCTCAGAGCTCCCTGTGGGGTTGGCTAAAGCCTCTGTTAACCACTGGATCACAGTTCAAATTCTCCCTCTGCCTAAATCTGCTCATTGATGTTATTCCAGAGAGCCTCCCTACTAACCATCCTGCAAACAAATCTCCAACTCAGAGTCTGCTTCCTGGAGAATACAACCCAAGAGAATTATCACAGAGCAATTTATTTTGTTTGGTGTAATTTAGAAATATAACTATAAAATTTCTCTTCTCCTACTTGGTACCTGATTCTCAGTCGGTCATTTTCTGAGTAAAGGCGCAAAACATGTTCCCGTTCCTGGAAGAGGCAGACCTGCATGTCACTTAGAGCTTTCTGTAATTCAGCAATCTCTTCCTCCCTCTGCTGCAAATCCCATTCTAGTTTGTGCTGGGGGAAAAAAAAACATAGTAAAAAAGATAATGAGCTTCACAGAAGTATCTCATTGAATATAAAAGTCAGTTTGTGTAGAAACATTACGAAGAATGGTTTCACTAATACAGAATTCAAATGACAACAAGTTGTCTATAGATTTGAGTTTAAAAGCTACAAGGTGAGATCGGTATTTGCATATAACGTCAAAGTTCTTATTTTCCTTTTACAGACTAAAGAACCCAGAATGCTATGATTCACCTGTTCTATTCACACTTTTTTTAATGGTTTCTATGTAATAAGTATTATGAAATTTTTGAAAACAAAGATGAAAGGTATGTTTCATATCTAGAGCTAAGGAATTTTGTGGGGAGACATACAAACACTCAAAATAAAATAATTATTTAATGGAGGATCATGCACAGTAAAATAGTATAGCGAGAAAGTAAGGCAGGAGTAAAATCTCTAAAGCCTTTTTGGGAAGTCAGAAACTACCACCAAAAAGTTGAAACTTGAAAAATAAAGACTGCTAGAGACCAGCAGAGGGTGGGTACTCTCAGGAAAGAGAACAATAAATACAGAACCATCAAAGAGTCTTAAATGTTTGGACAACCACAAGTATTTTAGTATTACTGGAGTGAAAAGGGAATGGCAAACTGGATAGGTATGAGACTGGAGGCTGGGATACTGGTTAAGGAGTATATTACAATAATTCAGGTGAGATATAACAAGAATCTGAACTAGTGTTGAGGCAATATGATGAAAATATTGGAATAGATTAAGGGATATTTAGGAAGCAGAATCAACAGGACTTACCAAATGATCGAATGTAGGGGCTGGGCAGAATTGTAGGCAATGATACCATTTACTAAGATAGGAAATAAAGAGAAAGTGAAGAGATAAGAAATGGAGAGAGGGAAAATTGTAGTGGTATATGTGTATATGTGGGTAGAGTAGAAAAAGGGGATTAGTTCAGATATGCAAATAATAACATGGAACTCAGGAGAAAAATGAGTCAGCATTAGTTATTTTGTATGTCATCATCCCCTATGAAGTAGTATAGATAAAAATGAGATCATTTATGGTGGAATCTGGAAGAACTTTGCCATTTAAGACTAAGGAAGGGGAACTGTTAATGGTGACTGAAAACTGGTCAAAGAGGCGAGATAAAAACTTCAGGGGGAAAATGACAGAAATCAAGGAAGAAAGTTTTCAGAAAGCAGAGGTCAACAGTGACAAACACTGCAAAGGTCACAAAAAGAAGAGATCATTTTGGCAAATGGGTATTGGAGACCATAGACGAAGAGTTTAGTGGAATAATGAGGAAAGAGACTAAACTGCAGTCAGAGTCATGAGTGAGTGATAAAGCCAAACTATTTCAGAAATGGGGCTGGGAAAAGAGCCATCTATGTAAGAGAGTAGATAGAGGAAGAAATATAGCTCAAGAACTATGTGTATTTGTTTTAAGTCAGGAAAGACTTAAGCATATTTTTATACAGTACTAAGGAGAAAAAGCCTATGTTAAGCAAGAGGTTAAAAATAGAACACAAAAAGAAGAGAGATGATGAAGGGTTTCTTAGGAGGAAAAAGGGATGTGGGCCAGGGAGAGGGTTGGATCAATTCAGCATGAAGAGGCAGAGACATCTTATTCCTAAAGCAATAAGGAGATGGATATAGATGTAGGCAACTGTGCATAGATGGGCAGGAAGAGAGTTCATCCAGGATAGCTGGTATTTCCTCTGTGAACTAGGAAGCAAGACTGCCTGATGAGAGAGGGCTAAGAAGGGCTTGCAGGGTGGAGGAGAGTAGGGAAGGTATGGCATGGATATAGAGGGAGAAGGAACCTACCAGGAAATTGCTGTGTAGTGATTGAGGATACACATGAATTTGTTTATCATGAATTTATTCTGTATCAATCTGTTACCTTTCTAGGACAGTGGTTCTCAAATAGTGGCCATTTGCCTACACCCCAGGAGAAATTTGGCAATGTCTACAGACACTTTTGATGGTCACAACTGGGGTTGGGAGGTGCGGTGTGAGCTACTGATATCTAGTAAGTAGAGCCCAAGGACACTGCTAAACATCCTACAATTCACAGGACAGTCCCCACAACATAGAATTACCAAGACCAAACTGTTAGTAGTGCCAAGGTTGAGAAACCCTGCTCCAGGAGAATAGGATTCAATTATAGCTAGGGTTTTTGCTATGCAACTGGAGCAAAAGACTAAGGGGTCATGTGCAGGCCATACAGTTATGACTGAAGTGAAACATGATGAGATTCAGATTAGAAGGGAAGGACATTATGTCAGAAGTTGACATGCAACACTTAGAAAACTGAAAAGTCAAGGAGCCATGAAGGTAATAATGAAGTTAAATGAAGTTAGATATAAGAGTATGAAAGAACTAAAAGTATGAGACTGAGATGTAAGAGTTTAAGATTTTAGAGGTGCAGCAGTTTGAGTCCTTCCCAATGAGGGACTCAAAGGGAAGACAGCTGGGCTGGTGTAGAAAGGAATTGAAAAGAATGTTTTTAATAAAATATCTGCTTGTGATACAAGCTGGAACTTCTAGATCTTTTCTCAATAATGAACAGACTTAATCGGAGTCCTAAAAGGGCATGCATCATTTCTTTTGCACCTGTCCTTCACAAGTTTCTTTGTACAGTTCCAGTTTCTTCAATAAGTCCTCATTTTCTGCCTCACACTCAGCCATCTTCTTCTGATAATATTCCAGAAGCTCCTGAGAAGGGAAGAGGATGGCCAGACGATCTTCAATGGAAGGCAAGGGAGTTGATTCCACTGACTCTGAGAAAGATACTCCCTTCCACCTGCTGGAACCACTGAAGCCACAGGCAGCGCCATGTTTGGGGACAGTTGTCGGCCTATGTAAAATTAGAAAGGACATATTCATTAAACTGCCAAACATTTATGAGGTATTATAATTTCTTACATAATAAGGGGTTTATATTCTTACAAAGTGCTTATAATTAAGGTGTTCATAAGCCTTGAAAGTTCGATGTTACAGGTTAGTGAATAATCTTATGAACTGCTTCCCAAGTATTAAAAGTTTAAAGCTGAATTCAGAATACATGTAGAGAATAAAAAGGTCATTTTAAATATAAAGTAAGAAAATAGTAACAGAAAATGTAATACCATTAAGACATATAGTAACAGGAATACTTATACACTGCTGGTGAAGTGTAAATTGGTGAAACTAGAGTAAATTGGCAGAATCTAGTAAAATCGCAATTCCTCATCCTAGAGAAACTCATGTACCTATATACAAGATGACACATAACATTCATAGTAACATTTGTAATAAAAACAGTAAACCTTCTAAACGTCTATCCAATAGCATAATGGATAAACTGTGGCAGGTCCATATAATAGAATATTTTCAAAGTTATCAGAAACTATGAATTAGAGATACATGTATAAATACAAATCTATCATTCAAACAATAGTAAATGGGAAAATGTATAGAGATGCATATATAGACAATATTACCATTTAAGATTGAAACCTGCAAAATGAAACAGCTTGTTTTTAGGGATAGGTATATACAAAGTGGCAAAATTATTAAAGAAGGGAATGATAAGAGTCAAGATTAGAAAATATAGCCTAGTTACTGACCGCACAACCATATCTGATCCTAATCTCTAGCACTGGAGACATCTGAATTACAAAGACCAAGACTAGACAAGATCTAAGGCTAATCAAAGGCTGGACAAAAAGTTTTTTCCTTTGTTTGCTTTTAGCAAATAACAGACTCAAGCTAAAACAATGAAAGTTAGAAAATAAATAATGCAGAAGTGAAGAAACCCTTATATGAAAATCAATCCATTTTTGGCTAAGTGCCTACAATTTAAAATGTAACAAAATAGAGTGGAGAAACTTTATACCAGAAGCCAAGAGTTGTAGTTAATAAAGGTTATGGTCAGCACTTTGAATAAGTGAGCATGTGTAGAAGAGATATTAAAATGTACTTTCAGCTTTCATGAAGGAAAAGTCTAATATTTTCCAAATCATTAAAAGCTTGTGACAGAAACAACTATTTCTCCTGATGTTTCATGTTTTCAGAGGGGTTGCCTTACAACTCTGGGAAATAGGTTAGTAGGTGAACTAAGAGGTATTTGAGACTGTGCAGATGAGACTTGTGGCAATGAGTATGAGAAAGATGTGTCACGCAGCAAGGGGATGGCAGAACAGAATTAGTCCCCTATATATGTTGGTTGTTTCCTCTGTAATCCAGGGTGCACTGACACTCTACTAGGCCCACTCAGACTGGCTGGATTCTGGTATTGTTGTGAGATTCTTGAACAGAGAGACGGGATACCAAGGCTATAAGGAGGAAGCAGCATTTACTGATGCTGGCACTGGCTCAGCGGGTTCTTATCCGAAGGCTGAGCCCCGATTGTAACATAATGGGCAGTTTTATACAGTCTTGTCATTCTTACACAGCTACAGATATAAGGAAGAACACTGATTGGTTGGCAAGCTATGAGAAAACTGATGTTAGCCAGAGAGTCCTTGGAAAGAGGGGGCAGTCAGGAACGAACTTGTTAAAGCAGAAAATGACCAGGCAGGGTCAGGCTGCCACAGTATTAACATTTAATATGTCCTAGTTTTTAATCTAAATTCCATATAACAAGAATAGAGGAATGAGTCTAATATATAATATAGTTCAAATCCAGAGTTTGGAAACCCTTCTAGTTCCTAAACTAACTTGAGCTAAGGCTACAGAAGTCTTGATTCTTTAACAACTCAAAAAATAAGCAAATGTCTTACTTTCTGCAGACAGGGGTATGTGTCGGCGTAAAGTTCATGCTGTCTTTTTCACACCTGTCAAATACACAAAAATTCAGAATGAGAGGTCAGGAACAGAACAGTGAGAACATAGACTAGTTCTCTAACATCGTTACGTGCCTCCTGGTGAGAATGTGTTTTAAAATGTAATACAATTCTTTAAAGTAGTTCCAAATCCTTAAGATCTGACTTTTGAGTTTTCAGTAAGGTATTCTCATTATTTTCAATAAAATCAGAACAGCAATTAATAATTGGATGGATAAGCACAGACAGAAGAAAAGCCTCCTGAAATTATAGGAGAGGCAGACACAGTTTCTAATGAGAAATAGCGGTCCCCAACCTTATTGGCACCAGGGACCAGGGCTCCTATGAGAATCTAATGGCTGATGATCTGAGGTGGAGCTGAGGCAGTCATGCTAGTGCTGCGGAGTGGCTACAAATACAGCCGAAGCTTTGCTTGCTCACAGGCCACCCACCTCCTGCCATGTGGCCTGGTTCCTAGCAGGCCACTGAACAGTACCAGACTGTGGCCTAGGGGTTGGGGACCTCTGAGGTAGAGGACTCATTATGCAAAATTTAAACTAAATACAAAGCCACCGATATTATCTTTATTTGGTGTGCTGTATCTATTAGTTCACCTTAGAGAAAAAGAAAAAAATATTTAAAATCTTTAAAAGATTCTTTCACAATCTCCATTCCAACTGATAAGATAGATCTTAAGTTCCTCTACTTTGAAATCTTCTCATAGAAATTTTTAGGAAGATAAACCTTAAGGAGGGAATACCAAATTAGGTGAGAGAGGGAGGAGGTGGGGAGAGGGAGAGTTTGTTTGTTTGTTTGTTTTAATATATTAACTCTGGGGAAATCTTTCTTATCAAGTATGCTTTGTCAACCCATTCTGATTTTGAGCCAGTCAAGAGATGATGTAATGCTATTCTTGTGGTCTTCTACCAGGTGTATTACTGCTTAGTAGTCAGTCCTTTGGAGAAGAATTTTGTGAAAAGAGATAATCACTATTGTTAATTCTATAACCATTTTCCTACTAGGAACTCCAGAGTGCCTCTCTTCCTCCTCTTTGAAACTCTTCTTCACTTGGCTTCCAGGACATCACATTTCTGGTTTTCCTCCTTCCTCACCAGTTTGGTCATTGATAGTTCTTCTTTACCTTTATCCATACTTATTTCCTTGGGGACCTCATGAAGTCTCATGGTTTTAAATAACATGTACACTCTAATGGTTTTCAAGTCTATACCTTCAATCCTTCCTCTGCCCTCCACTCTAGGGATTTAAAATATTTTAAATCCTCAATATAAATTTAACTCTGTTCAGTATCTTTTTCTTCTACTGGTCAGTCTATCAAATCTAGCTAGAAAATCTGTTACTGCCTCTGTCATTCCATTTGCTTTCTTCTACCAGCCAGTCCTTTAAATATGCCATTTCTCTTCTTATCTTCACCTTTAAAATGACTACCTTCTTCCTTCAAACCCACTTCCTTATACAAAACTTCTCCAAATTGGGCCAATTTGCCTCTTGTGAAAAATAACCTAGAAAATAAAAATGGTAGTTGGGATGGTATAGTAAGATTACAGGTGACACTTATTAAAAGCTTTATTGAGATATAATTCACATTCCATACAATTCACTCGTTTAAAGTGTACAATTCATAATATTCAGTATATTCACTGACAGGTCCAAAAATCACCAATTGTACATTTTCATCATTTCAAGAAGAAATTCTATGTCTTTTAGTTATCTCCCATGTGCTCCACTGCACCCCAGCTCTAAGCAACCACTAATTTACCTCCTGTTTCTATAACCCGCTCTATTCTGGATTTTCATATGATTGCAATTGTACAGTATGTAGTTTTGTGATTGGCTTCTTGCACTTAGCATGTTTTCAAAGTTCAACCATGCTGTAGCATGTATTAGTACTTTACTCCTTTTTATAGCCAAATTACATTCTACTTTACGAATATGGGTGACATTTTAAAGATAAATATCATTGTACTAAAAACTAAGAGTAACTTGGAACTTTAAAACAGCCTTCTAACAACCTGCAACCTCTCTTCTCCCTGGATTAGACTGTCCTCGCTCCTTCTCCTTTCTATTGTACGTCTACGAAAAGTTGTCTACACTCACATTTGTTTTATAATCTCTAACAATCTGACAACTACAACATCTGAAGTTGCTGTTTTTAGTCAGCAGACATCCAAATTAATAAATTAATTGTTCTTTGGGGTTTCCATCTTCCATCCAACAAGTCACTCCTTGATTTGTATGCCTAGTTTGTCAGTGTTGACCACCCTTTAAAAAATATTGCTTTGTAGTTGAGAGCATGGGCTCTGACTTGAGTTTCAGTCAAAGCTCTGTCCTTTATTAGCTGTGTGACTTCAGGCAAATTATTTAATCTTTCTAAAGTTCGGTTACTTATTAGAAAATGGGGAGAGTAATAGCATATATGTTATAGGTTGGTGTAAGGATTAAATAAAATAATGAATAAAAGGGTTGAGCACAGTGTCTGACATATAAGCACTTACTACATGGAGATTATTATTTTTACTGAAAATGTTCCCCCTTGGTTCAAAAGGTTCAATCTTCAACTTTCTTTACTACCTTCTTTATCCATTTCTTTGGAAACATCATTATTCCCACTGCTTTTATGACTACCTCTTCATTAAAACACTACCTGGCATAGAGTAAAAAATCACCTGTTGAATGAACAAAGGACATCTCTTTCAATCTCCTGATTTGAATTTCCAATTATGTAATGCCCCACAGGAGCTTGAAATGTTTAAAAAAAAAAAAATCACTTAAGTCACATATTTTTTTTAGTACTTCAAAGCTAACATTTCCCTAATTTAATACATCGTCTTCTTCACCCAAACATGCTCTTTCTGACTTTCCTATTTTAGTATTAACATCTTCCAAGCAACCTAGACTTGAAAATTATTTCCTTCTCTTGACCTTCTCATTCAACCATATAAAAATCGTCTATATACTATCTCAACACTGACCATGCTAATTCGGCATTTCCTTATCTTCTTACCCACTCTACTGTGATGGCTTAATTGTTCTACCCAACCCTGGACCACCTTCTTAAAGATCCTAAAATTCATCAGTAGCTCCTTATAACCTAATGCATTAAATCAAACTCAGCCTAGAGATCACCGATAAAGGACAAACCTATTTCTTCTGCGTTATTTCTCCTCTACTCCCCTAACCATACCCTTGGTTTCCAGATAACTTTTTTCTCTTTTTATGCCTACAGCACCAGCTCTTCCTAGGTGGTCTCCCATCCAAGTACTAACCAGGCCCAACCCTGCTTAGCTTCCGCTATGGGATGGGATTGAGTGTGTTCAGGGTGGCATGGCCTTGACACCAGATAACTTTCTTGCTTCCACACCTTTGTTCCTCCAACTAGAACACAGCTCCCTCCACTCTCACTAATTTCACTTAATGACATTAAGTCTGCATACAAAAACTCAAATACAATCTCTTTCCTGAGTCTCTCCATCCAAAACGATCTATCAAAATGATCTAACTATGCATTTTGAATTGCATTTGCAAGCCTCTATAAGTTAACATTCGAGTTTTGCTATCATTTCTCCCATGCTAGTGTATGTTCCTTGTAGATGGAAACTGCCTTACTCAAAAGAACAATGCCCTTGCTTATAGATAAATTAATGGGTAGCATATAGCTTCTCTTCCTCCACCTCTGCGATATCCTTGTTTAAGTATTTTTTGTAGCTTGTCTACTGACAATTAACATTTGTTTAGCGCGTTGACAATTTATTATTTTATCCAATCCCACAAGAACTATGAAGTATTTTTATTATCCCTTAATTTTACAAATGAGGAAACTAAGGCTCAATTAGGATAGAGTTCGGTGAAAGAATACTGGAACCCATTTCCAGGACGTCCAAATTCGTACTCTTTTCTCCATTTCATCCCGTTCTTGACTCCTTCATCGCTATAACACCCCACTTCTCCAACACGCCCAAAATCTTTCTCTTTGGAGCCCTCCTAACGACTCCCATATTTCAGGCTCACATCCCTCTCTTCCGCACTACTTCCAGAGTTACTTCTCCGTCACTACATTTTTCCTTTCCAAGGCCCCCTGCCTAGCCCCCTGACCCGAAAGCTGAAACTTTATACTCACGCCACACTAAAGCCACCGAGTCGGATAACCCAACCGAAAAACAAAAAAGTTAAATTAGAGAGCGTCACGGCGCCGCCTGAGCGTGCACGAATTCCTCCAATCGCCCCCAACTTTACTAGGCCCTTTGGACTGCACACCAATAGAAAGGCTATTCACAAGAGACACGCCCCCCCCCTTCCGTCCTTCCTCTCTCGCGTCTTACCGCGCAGAGATCGCCGGGAAATGTAGTTTTACTTCTGTACGCAGCTCTGGGCGTAGGTGTAACTCAGCTTCAACTCAGCTCGTCCCAGTACTATATTTGAGGTCAGAACTAACTAGTTCTGGGCACCCCCAGATTATGCTTGCTCAACTACTTTGTTTTCATGAAAAAATGATGCAGAAACGCGATGCATAGTCTCGGAAAAGAGCGCAGGATTATTGTGTTGTACAAGCTTATTTCAAGAAGGTGAAAGTCTTTCAATGACCTAGTGTCCTAAGCCAAGACAGGAACTGTGGTTCAATTTGTACAGTCAGAGGATTATGTATATAAATGCTACTACTTTTGTCAGGTAGCAGATACTACTTTCTTTTCCTGAGAGGTGTGAGAAATTGGCTTTAATAATATAAGCTAGTTGAAAACCCAATTATAGTCTCATCTTTCCCGAGAAGCAAAGTGTCCCAGGAGTAGGAGGAAAGAAACCAGTCTCAAGAGCTGCAGCTACTGTTGTGGAAAACCTGGGACTCTTCACTGGTACAAGACCTAAGGATGTCAGAAAGAAACTCGCCATGTTCTCCTAAACGTGCCTTTTTCCCTTTTGTGATTTTCTGTTAGTGACCTCAGAATATTCCCAGACACCTTGGCTCAGTATTTCTGCCTCTCTTTCGGCCCCTACATTTTTTTTTTTTTTTAACCAAATCATGGTGATCTTATCTTCATACTGGTTCTCAAATATATACCTTCCTATTTATTTCTGCTTCAGGTCTCATTACCTTTCATTCGAACTACTACATTAGGTTTCTAACTAGGGTTTTTCCTCAACTTTTTCCCTTCTCCAATCCATTCTTAAGATGATTATTTTTTTTTAAGCATACTTCTCGGCATGTCACATTCCTGGTCATTAACTTTTGGCCACAGAGTAGAGAATGAAGTCTAGATATTTAAACACTGCCACAGTCTGACCCCACTTATCTCTATTATCATAAATAACTGGTTATTTTCTGAATGTAGCAAGTACTTTTCAGCTTTGCCTCACACTCTTCCTTTCATCTGGATTGACCCTTTCATGAATCATCACCCATAAAATTTCTAGCAAGTCCAATGCAAATACCATTTCCTTGATTATAAGTAATCCCTTCTGCTTTGATATTCATGTACCAATTTGTCATTGTGTGTTTATAGCATAGCTTCTATTCAGATCTCATCAATCTTGAGCCCTTCTCTGACTACCCTATCCTCCCATACCACCGTCCCACTCCATCCCTTCTCTACTTTTTAAAAGACTTATTCATCACCTAAAATAGCATATATTTATTTGCTGGGGCTAATCATTTTATCTCCTCTCACTACCAGGATGTAAGCTCTATGAGTGGAGATAATTTGCCTTGTGGTTGTCATATATTCAGCATAAAAAGAGTGTTCGGCACATAGCAAACAGTCAATAATTGTTTTTAAATACCTGTGTAACATATCTCCCTACCTGTGTGTTGTCCCTCCTGTTAGATTGCTCTTCTTTCATTCTATATATAGGTTAATGCATCATCATTTATTCAAATGCTAAGAGGTCATTCTCAACCTATCTGTCTCTTGCAACCATCCAACATCAGAATGATAATTTTAAAAAATCACTCCAGTGGCAGAGGATGAATTAACAACAATACTTGAAGATCTGGGAGGCTACAGTGACAATTCATATGAAGGCAAAGGCCTAAACAGGGTGGCAATGCTGGAAATATGATGAAAGAAATGGGAGATATTTAAAAGTTTCAATAGACTAGACCCAGGACAGGGATGCTAGCTAGAATAGCTGACATTAATCAGAATGGAAAATACAAAGGAAGAATATATTTGGAGGCTGTGAGAAGAGCAGCCTGAGAAACTCTAACTTCATACATTCTCCCACCCCAGGGTTTTACTTTCCTACTCAGCTTAGTCCTGGAGTGCATAACATTTGACTGTTCTTGCCAATAATTATACCTTTTTTCTTCGTTGTCCTGTTGTAACTGTGCTGATAATCCCTGCACTTTAGATTAT